ACCTTATGTTATAAAAAAAAAGATGGATTGTGTGAAAGGTGACATGATCAAGGAGTGATAACTGAGATGAGGGAATACAGTTATTTGGAAGGGAGGTGATGAAATATATGAAATCAAACTTGTACAAATATCTAAATAAATTACTCAGTTTGTTAAGAATAACACACACAACAAATTCACATTATTTTCTACATTAACTCAAGTAGTTAGTGTTGTTATTGAATAAAGCATGTATTCCCTTACTAAGCTTCATCTCTAAGGATTTGCATTTGTTCTTCTTCAGTCCTGAAAATAATGAATTATAAAATAAACTAAAAACAGTCTTTGTTTCAAATACATTTCAGCAAAAAAATATCAACCCTTTTACTTTAGCATATTGTGGGGTGGAATTTAAAAAAACAAAAGTAACCTATGTGTTCCAGACTACGCTACAAACTCCCCTACGCTACAAACTAACAAACATCCAAACAATCTTTCACATTTGTAATATTAGTAAGAAATCCATTCATTAAATTAAAACTTCATAAAAACACCGCTGATATTAACTGAATTATTTACAGCACTACTGGTTGTTGGTCATAGATTAGTACCCAGTCCAATAATTAGTAATTAAAAAAATTAAACCTAAGCCTTTCTACACCTATACATATGACTCCACAGACCGGTTTCTCTTTAAAACTAAGTTCAGGTTTGCCAGCCTTCTTCGGTCCCACTGTCGGAAATAACAAGGTTCGCCATTGACGGATACGTCACGGATGACATCATCATCATCAGTACCCAGCGAACAATAAGTCCTTAGTGGTTAAATTACAAACCCATCACCTGTTACAATCCAATGCCAAAACAAACTAAATAAAAACATAATTTAAAAAACCCTTTAACACCTTATTTAAACTTAGTTACCCTTATCTTACATAACTAATTACTTTGGCTATGGTGGAACACTGTGGACGCCCTCTGCCGCACTCCAAAAGTATTAAGAAATAAGACACCAATATATTTTTTCTGTGACTGAATGGCCACTGTTTGCCTTGAAGAGGCATTTACAGATTCACTGGGCTTGAGGTAGCTGAGTGCAGATGGCGCTTAGCCTAAACCTCATATGAGTAAATAAGCTTGAGGGCTCCCTCAGGAGCCTTGGCAGGAGCCATTACTTCGTCGTTATTACCGGATTGGGAGGCCACCGAGCTCTTAGATCGACTAAGACACCAAATTAAGTAAGTTGTTTGTGTATGGAATGTTATTTAATATCAATGTTCGTTCTAAACCAAGAAAACATTTTTTTAAACTCTACAAATCATAGATACACACATTTTAAACTAATTCAATCAATAATATATATAAGTTTACTAGAAAGTGATATCAGCTCACAATTCCTCACCGAGAGGCTCGGAGACTCCCCTGACAAGACATGACTGGTCAACCATGCTGGCCCACTGTGAGTTAACTACACTTAGTTGCTATAGTTAAGTGTATTTTGGGTTAGTTTTGGTCATAGATTACTTCAGATTTCACACATTGAATTTTAATAGCCTAGTTCAGGGGTGGTGAACATTTATGTATTAGTGTAATTTTTAAAGAAATATTTGATGCAATCTCAGACATGTTAAAGAGTAATTTTTACTGCGATTACGTCAATTCCATGGTCCACTTACTTAATATTTTTTTCGTAATGTTTTTATGATTATCGACGTGCCTAAAATATTATGTGGGCCATTTATAGTATGCATGCCAATGGTTCGCCACCCCTCCCACCCCTTTCGGATATAGTAAACCCTGTCTTAGCACAAGCCTAAACTTTAGTTGGAATGGTAATTAATTTAACAAAAGACTATTTAAAAATCTTAAGATAAATTTTCACCACAAACTTCTACACCATAAAAATAAAACCACCACACCAGGATACCCCGTAACCTATTTCTATGTTCATAATCCAACTTACAACTCACGATTCCCACGTCTCGGGCTAACCAATGTAGATATACTATTTGTGATTCTTATCAACATAGATGTAGAATTAAAAGAATACTCATTTATATGAATACTCGAGTCTGTTACATCCCAATCTGTAAGATCTGAGTTGGAATCCGTAGATTCCACACTATCACTTTCAGATATACCATCTACGGACATTGTTTCCGAGTTAGATAAGATAGAACTTGGACTATCCATTGAATCTGAATACATGCTGGTATCTGTCGTCTCGTCTTCGGATATCGTTGAATATGAATCGGAATCTACGTCCATTTCTGATTGACAATTACAACCATTCCCTCTGTTATGAAAAATAAATTACCTTAATTGAGCAATGTGGGTAGAAATGAAACGGGACAATTTATACATATACAATAGAGTAATTAATATAGACAAAGAGCTTTCGCCAGCAATTTGACTGCATGGAATTACAGAAAAAAACAAAAATGAGCAGGCTATGTGTTCTTCCAGACTATGCTCTACATCTATACCAAATTTCATTGAAATCCATTCCGCCAGACTACAAACTCTAACAAACATCCATCCATCTAAATTTTTGCATCTACAATATTAGTAAAACTACCTTTTACTGGCAAATCTGTCCATATGGTTTTAATAAAACAAAAGTAAGTAACTTATGCATTCTTCCAGAATATTCTGTACAAGTATGAAAAATATTAATATTAGTTCAGCCGTTTAGGCTACAAACTGTAACAAATGTCTATCTAAACTTGGCATTTATAATATTAGTAAGTTGTTAAAGGTAAGATTAACAGTTTTTTTAATAATAGAATATATAGCAATATTTGTGGGTAGAACGAAATGTTAAATACAATGTCTGATTTAATATGAATAGTTAAAAAACCCGGTTACATACTTTATTTGTTTTTTAAATATACAAATCAAACATTCATATTGTTAATAAAATTTTTTGATCGCTGAATGGTATCTAAAAACATAAATGTAATTAACCTGCATAAAGAACTGCAATATAATTAAAAGTTGTGTGAAATATTACGTCGTAATTATAAACCAGTATTGAAGGACGTTTTCTAATAATTGCGTACAAAAAAGACAGTTTCTATGACATATAATTGTAATATTTAATTACAAAATGCGAGTATATGTAAAAAAGGATGAGTAAGTGGATATAAATAAGAGTTGATAGAGATGTAAGGAAACTGCGGACATTACGTACAGTAAAAGACAAATTAATAACGTTAAAATACTTACAAAGTTTCCGTTTGCCAAGCAGATGCGACTGAACCTTCTCCATCAGGATTCTCCTGCCTCTTACTGAAGAAGTAGTACAAAGCAGCCCCAACTCCGACGCCAATAGCTGCCGCAGCTAAACCCAGTCCGCGGCTCGGACAATTACTCTTCTGTCTGTCTTCTTCACGAAAACTCATTTTAACTAATTATTGTTCACAGTCCACAGTCAATTACCTTCACAGTCAAGAATTATTTTTGTATGCGGAAATTGGCGGAATTGACAATTTTCGAAATAGTGACGTCCCTCATTATTTGTTAAAAAACTTTGCTTCGTTTACTCGATTCGATTCCGATTACAAGACTTCAAATTCATAGACAATCCGATATTGAATTATTTTTAACTCAAATTGTCTTAATTATTATTTGGTAGATTCATTATTTTTTTTTTATCAAAATTAAAAGAAGTGTAATACAGTTAATTTAAATTTAATATTATTGAGCCGAAAGTTTTACCTTTTTAGGAATACACCCAATTTCTAAAAAGATTAAAACTTTTGGTGGGTTTTACGTAAAAATCCCTATTGTAATATTAAGATAACATTAACAATTGAGAATTCGTATATGATTTTAATATAGTTTTTTCGCCATCGCTAGGAATGTTCTTTATCGTAATTTATAAACATTGATTTGTGGTGTGGACATTCCCAGAAAAAAAACTTCTCTGTTAGTGTTACAAGCGAAAAAAATCTGTAAAATGATAAGCAAATTAAGCATTCTATTTTTAACTTATAATGCAATGATGCGACTTTTTGATAATCGCTGAGCACTCTAAGGAATATTAGTTACAAGCTTTCATAGCTAATTTATATCAGGGATTAAGCAAATGAAATTAATTAGATGAAGTTTTCTAAAAATTGGTAACCCTGATTATTTTCAAGGTTAGCTGAAGTTTGATCCATATCTAGGTGTCGATAAGGTTTTCTAAAAGCGTAATAAATACCACATAATTGTTCATGTAAGTCACATTTACAGATTCAAAAGTTTTTATTTAAATCGTGACTTGATCTAGCGACTGAATCAATTTTGACGAGTGAGATTCGTGTTCCCTCTCTGAAAAGGGTATAGTTGGATATTTTCTTGTTTTTAGTATGGAGATGCTACTGAAATCGGTAATAATAGTGGGTGCAGCGTGTGTTGCTGCGACGCTAGCTATAATGGAGTATTGGGAATGGAGGAATGTACCGGAAGCCCACCCCGCGCACGGACAAAGGCAGCGTAGGAATTGAAAATGTAACTAAGAATTTTTAATTAGTATTTATTATTCCTAGATCGATTTAGACATGTGCCTGAATACGTGTTTAATGGCGCAGGCGTGCATTGTATGGGATCACTGGCGCCAGTTAGTGTTAATATTATGCCAGTCCAGTTATTTAGCGTTTGTGCAGAAGTCGAAGTGAAGGAGTAACTCTTCGTCGCATGGTTTTTTAGCAGATAATCCTAGATGTGTAATGAAATTGGAGTTTCAGTATGTGACATCGAGAATAATACCTCCCACAATAACCTTTTTTATTTTTTTTTTTTTATTTAATTTCAACAAAGTACATTTTTATACATATGTGTTTGAATACTTGGTGCCATTAAACATGTAATGTTTGTATTGGCACTGCACAGTTCTCTTTACAATGAAAGGGTCAAATAACTTAACCACGCAAAATACAACCAAAATTCAAATAAAAATTCTTTTCAAATTCTTTTCAGATGCAATCCCTACCGAACTTGAGTACATAAGTAATAAAAAATGTAATATTAAATTATTGTATTATTTTTTTTTACCATTCGGAAGCTATTTTAAGTTACATAGGCTACAATTTTTTTTAATTCTCTATTTCACGCGAAGTCATTTTTTATACTAGAAGATTGTATTAAGTAAAGTGGAAAGATTTGTATTTTTGCATGTATTGAAAACTCAAAATCCGTGAGTCAAAATGGCGGGTGTACCATCGCAAATTATATTATACCACTTACTAAAAAAATGTACCTAAAATGTACTATTTAGTACCTCACTCAAAAAAATGTACCTTCTCTAGAACGTAATTAAGTAATAATTTCATAAATGTACTAAATAGTACATTTTTTTAGTAATTGGTATAATTTAATTAGCGATGGTACACCCGCCATTTTGACTCACCAAAATCCACTGGGCAGATTTCAAAAATTCTTTCCCCATTAAAAAGCTACGTATCATTGAGTAACATGTTACTAATATAAACGCGAAAATTTAGATGGATGTTTGTTAATTTGTAGCCTAAATTTATGAACGGATCTCGATGAGATTTGGCTATGTAGAGGATAGTCTGGAAGAACACAGGCTACTCACTTGTTTCTTACAAATTCCACGCGGACGGAGTCTCGGGCGAAAGCTAGTTACAAATAAAACAAATTAATGTCAAATATTTATTATACTCTAATAGAGTTTATGTACACTCTTTATTTTTCGATAGCAACAACCTCGGCATCAGTAAAATCTAAGAAAAAAACAAAAAGAAAATAGAAATACATCTTACAAACTAGAGAAAAAATGCATACATTTTTTAAAAATTACATGGCAAACATTTTCCCAAAAAAAAAAATATTCTCTCTCTTACAAATTACACAATATTTTTTCAATTTTTCCAAAAAAACAACATTTTAATGTTTGATCTTTCAAAAATACACTATTTCCTAAAAGAGAATCCATCTGAAGTAATGGATCCTTAATTGCCCCTTAGTGCTGATTTCCTCTTTAAGTCTTATATTTAAAAATAAAGTGCTAACATAACAGATTACCAGTCAAAGCATTTCTAAAAGTATTTATTAACTCATTTTTGTACTTCATTATTTATTGTTATAATACTTTAGAGTTAATTTCAATAGAAAAAGCAGACATCAAATTTGAGGTTATCTTCCGTCACGTTCCCGCACAAACAATCCCACATTGGTAAGAAAGAGACAAACGTACAAATACGAGATAAAATTTCAAGAGGATGTTGCAAGTGTTAAAGCGTACCTAAAAATAGTACTTATTCTAAAAACGTTACTAAATTTGTAAAACACAAACATTAAAGTTAATCCAATATTTTAAAACACCCTTGAAAAAAAAAACTCACCATCATTTTTCCCGGCATTATGGTTCAAAAGATTAACGCAACTTAAAAACTATGCTAAGGGCCACACTAATGGATGCGTATTGGAAGAAGCCTAGTGACTTAATAGGCCTTCAAATTTTTTTAATAATTTCGCCACTTTGGCGAAACACTTTGTACTATTTAAAAGAGTGAACTGATGAACATAAATTTTAACAACGTATAAAGATAATTTTTTTTTTCAATAAAAAAAATACGTTTGATTTTCGACCAATGGGCGACACCATAGTGTTAATTTTTTACAAATTTAGCAACGCCAATTCAACCTTAACTATACTTTAACATTAATTAAACAATATTTAAAAGGCAAATTAGTTTCAACCTAAAATGCATAAAAGGTACAATTAAATGAATATTGTTTATTGCTTTCATATCTAATTACACAAAAAAAACCCGAGATATTTTAAACGTACCAGTAAATTAAAAAATAACACACTGTGTAACAGAACTTAGTGTGTAATTTAAACAAATTGGTAAGTGTTTTACACATACTGTAAATATATAAACTCTAATAGTAAGCAATCTATAGTGTAGTTTAAATTTACAGACTGTGTAATAGTACACAATC